GGTAAAATGATTAGATTAATAGAAGTTTTAAATTTTAAATTATTATTTTTATAAAATAATGATTTAATTTTAAAATCACTAAAAAAAGGGAATATCCGGTTTTGAATTTCCAGAATTAAGTTATATAATAGATTAGAGAGATCACAGAAAATTTACATTTACTTATTTATAAATAAATGTTTTATTATTTTATACATTTACCCAACCATGGGCGTACATACGTATGAATATGAAGAAGGGAGGGGCAGTAACCGCTGTCTCTTTAATAATTTGAAATCAAAATATACATCCGCCTGAGATTTACCGGTTCGGCAAAAAAAGTAAACAATTACAAAAAACTACAGTCGTTTCGATCCAAAATTGTACGACTTATAACAGGAGCTCTCTGGCACTTCAACAACAAAACTTTACATAACGACTTACGACAACCAACTATAGACCAACACATACGTACTCTCTACTCTCGTTTTCATCTCAAACTACACGGACACACAAACAGACTTATAAACGACATGGCTACGACTGACATGCCCATCAGGAGGAGACTAAAAAGAAGCTGGATGAGAGATCTCCTCACCTAAATCATGGAAGTAAATAATGACGAGGAAGAGGAGCTGTTGGGTACTATCCTTCCTCATGCCAATCCTCACCATCGCAACACATCTGCTGATTGTCAATACAATGACAGGTGCAGATAAATAGTTAAAGAGAAAAAATAAAATTTAATGTATAAATTATTTTTCGTATGAAAATATCAAAAAATAGCGGATAGGTCGATCTTGGTCCCAAATTCCTAAAATGGCGTTAATTGAGTTTCGAAAGACTGTTTTAGAGTCCTCGAATCTCTTTTACGGTACTCGATTGGGCCAATATGCGTTACACTTTAAGGTTAGAATGTATAAAAAATAATTCTTAGAGCATTGAAATATGTAATCATTATATTATATTAATTATATCTCTAGCGATTCTTATGTCTTTTATTGGTAACATTTCGATAAATTTATTCAAAAGTTTAAATATATATATATATATATAGTAATGATACTGATATTAGCTTGTTACTTAATACCAAGTATTTATTTATTTTATGCATATTATTATGTATGTATATGTATATTATAATGAGTCCAGAAGATTTTGAAAAAAACATTGAAATGTTGGATAATTATTATTGATAAATTTTATAATTGGATAAAAATAAATGATCAAAAATCTTATTCGGTAATTAATGTTATTTACATAATTCGATTTAGTACAACAAATTACTTACATAGAGTAGTATTAACATTGAATTTAATACAGAGAAATATTTAGGTGAAAAGGTTATCGACATAGAAACGAGCGTTTAGTCTACTGGGTGAAGGAATCCAATACGAACTCTACCCTACCTCATTAAATATTCTGGAACCCAATCGAGTTCATCCTGCATAATACTATATATATATATATATATATATATGATTAACCTTGTTGTACTAAAAATTAAGTAGATACCGAGTAATAACGTCATTCAAATACCGGTTATCCGTTCCTAAAACTGGATACCAGAAATATGTTGAATAACAACGTCGGGTTTACGTTACCCACACAACACTACTGATATTCTTAGAATATTTTGAAATATGAGGCTGTCCAATATGTTTCATCTTTAAATTAATATTAGAATTTCATCTCAAAAAGTTTTTTAAAAAATTTAAATATGAAAATGAGATTAACAATTTTCTAAAATGTTTGGTAGGGATTCAGAATTCGGCAGTATAGAGTAAAAACTATCAGAGTAGGTAAAAATAAAACACATTACATAAAATTATAACTTCTAATAATAATTTAAAATGATACTGAACTTTTCTGGCAAGAAAAAAATTCTTTCTAATTTAAATATAAATTTTTCCGACAGGTTTTAGTTTTAAATTAATTGTTAACGCTTATCTAAATTACCTAAAAGGCTATGATAGTTATTCGACATTCAGTAGATATCCGAAACCATGATAATACCCATGGTAAAAATAAAAACAAAATTTTATTATTTTTATTTTAAAATCGAAATGATACTGAATTTTTCTAGTATGATTCATTGCTTATATATATATATATATATATATATATATATATATATATATATATATATATATATGTAAAAAAAAATATAAGTTTAATCAGTTTATGAAATAAATTTTAATTGGGTAAAAAAAAAATATGATTTGGACATGCAATCATGTAATCATATATGACATGAGAGTGGTGGTAATTTCATAAATGCAAATTTAAAATTTTTTATCTTAAAGTTAGAAATATTTGATTTTATAATACAATCTATTTCAATAATTTTACTTACAAATAGTAACTATCTAAGTACTGACTAAAATGTGAGTGGATATCAGTATTTTTACTTTTTAGGACCCATGCGAATAATTCATGTGGCTTATTATTAGGTGACCAAAAAATAATACAATATATTTTTTTATTAAATCTTCTAAATTTTCAAGAGCATATATAATAATTAAAATTTATAATTTCGAGGAAAATCTTTATTTCACCCTTACACCTCTTACCACTCCGTGCTTCAATTCATTTTAATTTTCTCGACGACGTTTCAGACAATTTTGCCCATTTTCAAGTCGAAACATTTATATCATTACTATATAATACGTCTAATAATATTTTTTATATAGTTATTGTAACATTTATCTCCTCTCATCCTTCACAATTATAAAATTCATAACTTATTTATAAAATCTCAATTCTAAAAAAAAAACGTCAATAAATTATACAATAATTTAAATTTAAATAAAATGTTACATGTTTTAGTCCTTTTAACACAGCAGCCTTATGAGCACTGTAAAAAGAGAGATGTGAAATAAAGAGATTTTCCTGGAAATTATAAATTTAATTGATGTAATATCTAAATTAGTAAAAGCAATCAATTTTGAGGAGTGGAAGAGTTTATTATTTGTTTTTCATTACTGAAAATTATAAACGAAAAAATGTTTAATACGTGATTGATGATAATTTTTCAATTTTGAATTTTTTTTCAGTTTTTAGGATATTTGAAAATATTACAAATTATCGCACAAATAATTGCTAAAATATTTTATGCTTTTTGACCATTGCTCAAAATAAAATTTTCGTTTCTTTGTTTTTTTTTTTTTTTAGATGTGTTAGGTAAGACACGCCGTGACGAAAAAAAAAAACATTTTGAGAAATAATATACTAAAGATGAAAAAATAAAAATTAATTTTAAAAAATTGAAATAGTTAGGAATACATAACTACAAATCAAGAAAATATCATAAAAAAATCAGTACTAATTATTAAAAATAAATTATTTACAAAATAAATCGAGAAAAATATTAATAGAATTAATTAATTAAAAGGGAATGATAGCTTAATATAATTTATTTTCATAAAGTTGTTGAACTTTTCGTATTATTTTTTAAATTAAAATAATAATCATAAAAAAATAAAAAATATAAAAATAAAAAATATAAATATTCGATTTAACCTTTGCATAATGTGCGAAATAACTAATAAAACAATAGTGAATTATACTCAAATTTTAATTATTGGTATGCCACCATTATGTGAAATATATATTGTTTTTTATTACAACAGAAAATAAATATGTATATACAGGTTTACTATTTTTTGTAAAAAATCCTGCGGATTTCCAAGTTTTCCCCCAGATTTTCAGTGAAAATTATTATTCTACTGAAATTAAATAAAATTGAAAGTATCATAATCAAATTTTACAGCGAGCACAGTTTTCTAAGAAGTAAAAAAAAATTGAATTTTTCTGAAAAATTAAACTGCATTTTTTAAAATTTAATTTAATTATTTTTAATAAATACGACTTTAATGGAAAAACAATAAAACTACTTAATATTGAATTCCCTAGTTTATAATTAAACACATATTTTCGAGGAGGTATTAGAACAAAACAGAAAATCTTTAAAAACAAAAATCAAATAAATTATTAAAAATATATTAAAGATATTTTGCACATCTGGATTAAAATATATTTATAACGATAAGAGGAAAATTATTTTTAAAAATTTGGTTATCTACTACTTGGTGCTGAGCTAATATGAAGATATATTATTTTTTTATAATATTTAAATTTAATAATCTTGGTATTTAATAATAATAATATTTACTTTCCAAGAAAACCCGAAATTATTTTTCCGAGGGAAGCAATCTTGTTCAAATTATATTTTAAACTTATTCTAATTATTGAAATATTAATTTATTCATTTATTAAAATAAATAAATTTAAAAGCAGCCATTTATAAGTTAGTAAAACAAATGTTTGGTTTCCTATAAAAACATTAAATAATTTTTAAAATAAAAAAAATGCCTTGATAGCTCGTATTAAAAAAAAAATAGTGTAAATTAGTGAAATTATAACAAAAATTGTTAATAATTTATAAATATTATCGTTATAATCAAGCAAAAATTATAAAAACGGAAAATCACCCAACCTAATAACAATAATTTAGTTTCGAACATTTTTTTTTACTTATAATGCTCTACCGATAATACAAAATAATTTAGTATATAAATAAAATATTATGAATTAAATAAATTACAAGAACTTATCCACTCAGGTGTGATAAAATAACATGCATAGATTAAGGAGTCAAATTACTCAGTGATTAATTCTTATTTTAGGAAGATATATGAAAAAATAAAAGCATATTTCAAAATACTAAGAAAGCGTGCAAGGTAAAAGTGTAATTTAAAATATTTCTAAGAGTATTACAGGTTTGATGTGAGTTATTAGTTTTAGTTTTCTTCTTATATCCCTTTATGGTAAAATGCCTACTATCTTTAAGCAAGAATAATGATTATTCAATTGTGTAAATGGATATATATGAAAAATAATGTTTAAAATATAATATGTCCGTTTTATGGCTTATATAGGTAATATAGATTTTTCTTAGATACTTAAAACGAAAAATATGAGATTATCCCAGGGTGTTGTAAAAAAAAAAAAAATCGCAGTTATGGTGTAACTTTATATTGTAAAAACATACATCAACAATATTTATATACAGGACATACAAAATAATTTAATTTATCACTATATACACAACTATAAACAAATCCACAATCGGATCTTTATACAGTAAAAGATAAAACTAATTAGAGGAGGAATTGATATATTTTTTTGGTTCATCTTTCATAGCTAAAGAGATCAAACAATTATATATCCATTTAGCATAATCATATATATGTATAAGACTTTGGTATAAACTGTAGGTTTTTCGAATTCAACCACAAATAATCTATTATTAATTATTTGACAATGAAAAATATATTATTCACCACGCAGACATATCATTCCCAAATATATATATTATTATATAAATATGTATATATTAAATCTATTAGTCAAGTTCCTCTTTGGGAAAAATCTTTGGCAAAGCCTTTATTGTAAATTCTTATTTCGACACTATATACAATTTTATCACTTTCTCGTCAATCTTTTCAAGTTATTAACACTTTATATACAATTCTGGGCAAACCCTTAATATAAACAATATGGTAACCAGTATAGTTACTCTGGATCAGTTGTATATAAATATATAAATGACAAGGGAAAACAAAGATAATAGCAAATAATATTTTTAAAAAATGGTACGAAACAAAATCAACTAAGTGTAAGCTTAAAAAGGTACACTTACTTAGTCTATTAATTCGGCAAATCGAAGTATAAGTATGATGATAATACAAACAAAAACGGGAAATACAGATTCGGTAAGAGGGTCATAACTAGCAGATGTAAGGTAGTTGTATACAACCGTCTTAGACGTCGGTCCCACAGCCTTCCTGATAGCCTTCGTCCGGCGAGTTCCTGGTGAGGACCCTCTTGAGGGCGTTGACGGGCGGTAGAACAGGAACACCTCGCTGCCACACCCGAAGGGTCTTGGCCGAAGGAATTGGAGGGCCTCCGGGAATGGGCAAGCCGTAATCGGGAGGATAGTCCTCGACGATGGGGGTCCGGTCGCCGATGTAGCCCTCCTCCCAGCCGTCAGAGTTCCGGACGTACTCGCCACTTCCTGGTCGAGGGTCTTCGCGTGTGTCGTTGATCAGGTCCGGGTTTGGGGCGTCGCTTGGGCTCTCTGCCTGGATCAGTTCCCGAGCCACGGGGCCCACCGTCACCTCCTTCCTCTCCACGAAGGTGGAAGACTCCACCGTCACTGGCGTGGCAGGCTTCTGGGACACTGTTCCGTTAGGAACAACCTCCACGGTTCCACCTCCAGGTGTCTTGGATTCAGAAAACGGTACACGTCTCAGTCTTATCAATAAAACTAAAATAATCAGCAAAATGAAAAGTATGAGAGCGACGAGGGCGGCGCTGAGGCCGGCGATCTGCCCGCTGCCGAGGCTGGCCATCCCCGCCATCCGGTAGGAGACGTGCACCGTGTAGTTGGCCTCCGCGTTACCGGCTCGGTTCTCGGCGATGCAGTAGAAATCTCCTGAATCCGACTCCTGCGCGTTAGTCACTATCAGGGTACTCCTCTTGTCGAAAGTACCGTTCTCCATGATGTATACTCGTTGGTAAGAGCTAAAGGCTGAATTGTTGAGCAGCAGTCGTCCATTGAAGAACCAGCTGACGCTTGCTTCTGGAATTGATTCCACTCTGCATACAATTGTAGCGTTATCGCCAGTTGTAGCCTCCACCTGCCTGCTATCCAATCGAATTTCAGGACGACATGCGAAATCATCCAATGAGAGTTCTGAAAACGATTTACCCAGAATCCTGTCCGGACCTCCATTACACCTCGGCGCAATGGGGTAAGGAATATTATTGTCTGTTAGCCAAATTTTGACAGCTCTCAAATGACAATCACAATACCAGGGGTTCTCGTGCAATTCGACTCCATGTAATCTCGACAATGCTTCAACAGTCCTAGGGCGAATTTCCTGCAGATCGTTTCCATTGAGTTTGAGTGACTCTAGAAGCTGTACTCCTTCAAACGCTTTAGGTGAAATGGTATATAACTTGCAGTTTGACAAGTCTAGCTTGACGAGACCAGGCAGGGTCATGAATGCGTGAGGTTCTATTTTCTGAATGGGGTTGTTGGATAGTATCAGATCTCTGAGGTAGGGAACATCTTTGAAGGTGGCTGAAGGTATCGATGTAAGCATGTTGTAGGACAAGTCAAGTTCTACAAGATTTGTGAGACCTCGGAGGGCCCTGTCGTCGATTTGCCCAAGTTTGCAGCTCCGAAGGTAGAGGCGCTGCAGGTTCAGAAGGTTGTTTTTGACGAAATTATCATTCGTGAGGACTTGAATATTGTTGCCGGACATGTCGAGGACCTGAGTTTCCGGGTCGATATCCTCCGGGAAGAGGATGAGGGATCGGTCGGTACACTCCACTGTCTGCTTCCCGCCTTTCCACTTGCAAACGCATACCGGAGGGCAGCTACCGGAAGCGGAGAACCCTTCTCCGATAAGTGTGAACAGCAAGATGACGAAGATCTCCATCTCATATCACAGAAACACTCACTTCACTGTCTCGATTTTGATAACGAAATAATCGATTGGTTCAAATCGGAAATGAAATCACTCGGGGTAATGGTATCACTTTATCCACAGGGCTGTAGGAAACTGAACGGGTGCGTGCACTGTTGCGGCATGGCGGATGAACTGAATATAACTCACGTAGTCTAGAACCAGAAGGCGACGGAGGTCACGTACGTACAGTTCGAGTCCCGGCGTTCGACTGGCGGGCAGAGGCATCCCCACCTCCCGGCTCCCTCCCCCCCACCCCTCCAATCTCACCCCTCTTTGTTCGATCCCTGTCAATTTTTCACGCACAAGTGAGACCGTCCCTGAGGATCAATGGGACTGTTCCCTATCTCCTCATCTCACTCACTCCCTATCTCACTCTCTCTCTTTCTCTCTCTCTCTCTTTCTCCGTCTCTCAATCAGCCCGTCTTTCTCCGCCCAACTGTTTCCTTCGACCTTTAATTAGGAAATCGTTTCAGCTAATCATCGAGGTTATCGTCATCTTAATGGTACGCCTGTTAACATCTTTTATGATTTAGAGATCTTAGAAATGTCAACACCTATTTTACTACACTCATACATATATTTAAATCATTTAAACTCATATTTGAGTAATAATTAAATAATTAATCATTAGATGATTATTTCTGACAATATTAAGAGACATATATCTACTAAATACCTAAACGATTCAGTACCATTTACGAATTTAATCCCTTTTTCTTTTTTTAAAACATTAATTGTCATCAGTTGATAAATGAATAGGAAACAATAAAATTTTAAAGAGTAAACTTACACGACTATTCATTAAAATTTTTTTAAAACAAATTTATATTAAAAGCAATGACATTATAAACGGCTTAGTTGTTATTTTCAATTAGTTTTAGCAGTTTGAGCTGTTAATTAGTAGTGAATAATCAACAAAAAATAATTTTTGTTCCAAATTTTCTAATCCCAATCTACTAATTATGGACTAACACAAGTTAAAGAAATTTAAATTATTGTTGAGATGCGGATACCAATTAATGGCGATTAGTAAGCAATTGAGTAGACTCATATAAGATGGATATCCTTCAATTAATAAAAAGTTTAGAAAAAGTCAATATTTGTCCATATTGCTTAAATTTAAACCAATAATGATGTTTCTTTTTGTTTTTTTTATGATTCAACTTGAACATTTTTTAAATAAAATCATCAGAAACAGTTTGAGTTGAACGTATAAAAAGGAAATCCATTTTGTCTGCACTTTCTAAAGGTTACAGATGTCCGTATTTCATAAAGAGGCTCGATTGTTTATTTTCAAAATTAGGCAAATATTCTGTTTACGTTCACAAGCTCTATTCACAATGCTATCTGAAAAAAAGTAATATGATATTTACTTTATGCTGAATTCTACAGCGTTAGTAGGACATAATATTTAATTGTTTACTTTTTCTAACGCTCCTAAAAAATAAATGATCATTGTTTAATAACATTTTTTCCTAGAGTCCTAATATAAATTAAAAGTCATTTCGATTTCGTTAAAATAATGAAAAACCGTACGGAATATATATACTTTTTTTTTTTTTTTTTTTTTAAATGGCTTCCTAAGGTAAATGTACTGGTAATACAGGGAGTTAACTTTTAGAGATTTTTTCAACATTAATACAAATCACAAATTAAGTTCTGACGGTGGATTTTTGCAAATGGGTTTAAATGATAGAAAATTTATTATTCGACCAGATTCAGCGAATTATTTTTGAAAAACTTAATAAATTCTGACAGCGTATTTCGTACAAGTAATAGACACTCAGGTTTTGGGATCGACATATTTTTATATATATAATATAAAAAAAAATAAAAAAAATTCTCCATAGTTTTAAACAAACTACAAAAGAATAAATAAAAAATTCAGACCTACTTCCTAAAGAAGACTGCTAAGGAAAGCACATGAAACAAACACCCATTGAAAAATCAACTTAAAAAAATCAACCGTTCGACTATCGTGGCATATCACTTGAGGTTCAGGCATCGCCCTTTAAGTGCTCTAGCCTTAAATATAATAATATTTGCACTCTCATTTAGACGAATAACGATTATTATATTTTAATTAATTACTAATATTTGTTGTTATTTTTTTCGCATTATAATAAAAAAAAAAATTATAAAACGTATAGCCTATAGAAGGTCTTGGATTCAGTACAGTGTTTCTTGGACAACGGTACTGAAATTTGGTGATCTTACCGAGATCACGAACAATCACCTGATTTTTTATCATGGTTAATAACTCAATTAAGAGGACTTAAATAGAGGCTTGATGAGTAAAAGTAGCGTCTTCTGATCCCTGAATCAAAAGTTGAAGTAACAAAATAAAAATTTACTTGCCACACTCCGAATATTATTACTCCAACATCATTTTTTCGTGTTTGTGTAAACACAGCTGGGTCAATCCATTTGAAATCACCCAATTCGAATTAATTTTGTTGCTCGATATTTTTTTTTAGTTTTAATTATTCCATATTTCAAATTTTGATTTTGATGCTCACAGGCTACTTTTAATTTTCTTTTCGGCTGAAAACATGTTTTGGGAAAATGCCTGTAGCTCTGGGTATTTATGTAGATATCAAGCCAAAAAAAAAAAAAAAAAAAAAAAAAAAAAAAAAAAAAAAAAAAAAAAAAAAAAAAAAAAAAAAAAAAAAAAAAAAAAAAAAAAAAAAAAAAAAAAATTGCCCCACTGTTGAGAACGAAACGTCGTAATAACTTTAGTATTTGTTTTGTTTTAATAATCGCAAAAATGCCGCAGTTATGAAAGGTAGGATACTCTGATACCGATTCACACTAAACAGCCATATTCGTAGCCATATAACCAATAAAAACAGTTGAGTTTCAATGATCAAATTCATATCACACATTCTTATCTTTAAGGGGGTATATACTGTATCAATTTAATAATTTTTCGCTCAGTTTCTTTTGAGATATATATATATAGTTGCCCAAAATCGCAGTTTGCAAAATAAAGACCGCCTAACTGTTGCAACACCACGAACAAGACTGGTAAAAAAAAAATCGATATTTTAAATAAAAATCGAGGTAAAATAGTGATTTATACTCGACAATTTTAGTTACCACATTATAATAATTGGTATAACCGACATACTTTTGCATTTAATTCCTCTAATTTTTCATTCGGGCTTAGTTAGGTTTTCTTCTATCTAAAAAATTACAGTAATATCTCTATAGTAATAAGCTAATAAGTAACTGCAAGACTCTTGCTAGAATTTTCCGAAAGACTGAGTTTGCAAGACCAATACTCGTCTTGGTCTCGCATTTGGGCAACAGTAGATATATAATATCAAAAATCGCCGGAAACGATTTTTGAAAATTCATATTTAAAAAAGGACAAGGTATTCAAGATTGAAATTTCAAGAAAAAAAAATTAAAGTTGAGATTCTTTTCTTTATTATACTTTTGTAGCCCAAAAAGTAACTTCTTTGTCTATTTTCATATTTTTTTCAAACTAATTTCCATTCTTTTTAGGTGATATATTAATCAACATAAATGTAGAAAAAATACTCTAAATTATTTCAGTTTTTATTTTGGCTTCATTTCTACAAAATAAACATAGTTACAGGCATTTTTCCAAAACATGTTTTCAATCGAAAATAATATTAAAAATGGCCTCTGAGAAAAAACCGTGAGTCTCAATTTTTTTTATTTATGGTTTTGAACTTTCAAATAAATATGGAATAACTGGTTAAAAAAATTAAAAATGCCAAGCAACATGGTCTGGGTGATTTCAAATGAATTGACCCAGTTGTGAATAAATAAATAAAAATACAAATAAATTATTTTCGTGTTTAATAATAATAATATATTTCATGTTACCGAGGGTAAAATATTAACTCCTTTCTTGAACAAGTGGTAGAAAAGATAGACATGGAAGACTTGGAAGAGGACAGCAAAATCCGCATACCCGCGAGAACGTTGTGTTGTACGTGACTCGGCGAGGATCTGGGTCAGACAGGCTTCGCTTGGTGAGTCCCGCAGGCTTCCATAGTTAACAGTGAAAATAAACAGCCCTCCCTCAATTATTAGTCTCTCTAGGCCACTTTCTTTTCTCTCACAGTAGCAGTGTAGTAGAATTTAGTAACAACATTCCTCTAGAATACACTCGGAGATAAAAATCTGTTGACATGGCATCCCTATATAAAACAATTTAATTTATGTTATACTAAACAGTGGTTGCTTACTTATCTTTATTAAATTAAAAATCATATAGCCAGGAAATGATTTTATCGAACGTTTTACGTCAGGAATTCCCGGAAGAGGTAAACAAAACATATATTGTCGAGGTGTACAGTTACGATGAAAAATAAAAATAAAAATTAAAAAAAAATATTTTATTCTATACCAAAGTTTCGGCCTAAGTTTCATGCCCTAATCAGGACCGAGGAAGCACATGATAACAATCATAAAAACATAAATACCAGGGTTTGAAATTGTAAATTATTTTTCTACAAAATCATGTAATAATTGTTATTGAAAATTTAATAGTTGACCGTTACATTATAAAGGAATGGACCATCTTCTTCCTTTAATAATTATTATATCTGTTTTTTAATTTAAAAAGCATGCCTTATTTATAAATAAAATTTCAAATCGACCTTTAATGTTTATTGATTCGATTAAAAATAATGATCACTCACTGAGTGATACGGTTTTGTATAATTAATAATGATGAAATTGGGACAAAGTCAGCTTTTACACACAAATATGTATGTATACGTTATTAATGTACACATTTATTTATATTATATTTCTGAAATCGCCTTGATTGTGCGCGCTGTACCTACACAATATATATATATATATATATATTTTTTTTTTTTTTTTGTTTTTGGAAGTCAAAATTTCTAATGAATTTCGGAAATAAAGATGATCTGTTGCTAATTGTTGACAACAATATTCTACGCCTGCTTCTCCAGACTCAAAATATATTATAGAGATTACAAAAAAATTGTATTTCTGTTTTTTTTTTTAGTTATTTGGCAATGATTACTTCCAATTAGCTACAATTTGATCTATTTTTGTTGTATTATCTAAATTGCATGTTTACAAGTTTACGTTTCGGGATATTTACTCCCATCTTCAGAACCACAATCCCAATGATCTTGTGGATACAAGGCTTAAAATTAATGTGCTCTATCGCCAGTTTCTAATTCACGTTATAATAATC